TGAATATTGTTTACTCAGGATAGAGTCCCACCTGAACATCTAGACTCTCCCAAACTCAGCACATGCACAAAACAACTTTACCAGCAAGGACCCACAGTTCTGGTTATCTGAGAAAAGCAAGCTTCCTTTGAGCAACATCACCGGAAGCCCTGTTAGAATGGCCTTCAGATGTAGTGTCTAAAATTGGGATTTCCTGAAAATGTAGGGGTTGCTATTACCAACTATGCAAGGAGAATGGGATTAATCCAGGGCTGTCCCAAGCAGGATGGGGCACGTGGTGCCTCTGTTCAGCAGGCAACATCCGCTGAAGACTTGCTGACAGACTCTGCCACTGGCCACTGGAGGTTGTCCTGGGAAGCAGATTGACTCCATTTCCATCCCTGGGCCTGCTTGGCTCCTCCCACTATTGAAGTTCCTGCCAAGCTGGAGGCCCTCACACAGTTCTTTCCTTCTAGGACCTGAGCTCTCCCACCTGCTTCACTTTCCACTGATGCCTCAGAGCCAGACTTACCAAGGACTGTGCTAATGACTCTTATGCTAATGATGAGGTTGCCTGTCAGACATGACTGTCTGGGATTGGGACCTGGGAGTAAAGGACATCTGTCTTCAGGTGCCTCCATTTCTTCTGCCTGTGCTCCCCTCTTTTTTAGAGTCCTTCTAGGTATGTCAGGGTAAAGAAGTTTCCTCTACTTTTCTTTATACTAATAAGATCACCCCTTCATGCTGCTAGGACTTCCATTTTTATGGGGATAGGGGACCCATGGCCTAGTTCATTGCAGGGAACCACTGAGGATCAAACCTGTTTTTACAACCAGAAAAGACATATCACTGTAGCAATAGTAAGTTTTACACTTGGCATTTGGGTGAGAAGCGAAGAAAGTTTGGGGGCATTTCGAATAATGAAAGAAAGAAGCAGGCTTTTGAAATGCAAAGATAGAACTCCCTTTCCAGGAAGCAAATTATACAGTGGCACATTAAAAAAAAGGCGGGGGGGGGGTGTGGTAGGGGGTGACGAGGGGTTGAAAGTACTGGGACCGTGAAAGGAGTTGTTTAATGGATAGAGAAAGATCCAGAAAGGTGACTCTCAGATCCTTTGGATAAAGCCACCCATCTCCTCGTCAAAGATAAGAGGAAAAGCGGCTGGCTTTATTCTTTATTCTTTTGACAAAGATGCACCAGTGTGGCTGAGAGAGGAGGCAAGCTTGGTAATAGCTGCTCATTCACCAGGCAGCCTAAACCATTCTAGCGCTCACTTTACAAAAAGCCTTTCAGGAGATGCAGGACATGAGGTTTTGACAGGCTCTCCAGTGGCAAGGAAGAGGAGAGGAGCAAGAGCAAACAGGGGTTGATGTATTATTTATGGTTGGAGAACTTAACAGCAGCCTGTGAGGGTCGGCCCAAAGACTCGCATCTATGGAATCGAGACAGACATCTCTGAATTTCTTTTGCTGCCGGGACCCCTGCCAGTGCCGGGCCGGTGTGCCTGCCTTTCATCTCAGCGCTGGGCTGCAATCTGCCTGGCTCCTGGTTGCCTTTCCCTGTGGCCCATGATGAGTAGAGACCTTGACAGAAAACTGCCAGGGTCTCTGTGGGTGAAATCTCACTAGGTCTGCACAGAGGGCATCGTGCTGGGCAGTCAAATCTGAGCATGCAGATACACACACACACACACACACACGCGTGCTCGCAGACTCTTACTGATGTCACACGGTGGGCAGAGAGGAGGATGTGGGACTTGGATCTGAAAGGAACAAAGGCAGATCGTCCTCTGCAGTGAGCTGGGCAAAGTGCAGGCGGACAGCGAAAGGAAATGAGAGGCAAAGTGCGAAACCCACAGCAGAAGCCGCTGGAGAGCATATGCATTGGACTTCACAGCTTCCTCCTGTTTCCAGCTTACATTTGCTCCATATGCTGCTTTACACAGCTTTTCGGGGCAATAATGGGTTTTATTCCATAGTTTTTATACTAACATGAATGACTCACATCTGCTCCAATACCCAATTTGCTCTCTAATGTCTTCCTTCGGCTGCAAGGGGAGAACAGCTCCCACAGAACTTGCCAGTGACAGGAGTGGTGAGAAGAGACCTAATTCAGGGACAAGGCAGCTTAGTGCCTGATAAGTGTGAGCTGGAAGGGGCTTAGAGAGGACCTGGCACAACAGAAGATGAAACTGAGACCAGAGAAATGAACGGGCCCAAGAATATCATGACCAGGGAGTTGGGTCTGTCCTAGAACACCAGGATATACCTAATTCAGAATTTACCTATTTTTCTTATTTCCTGCCATGTTAAATCTTACCCTAGGAGGTTTTCCTACCCCTATTGGCTGTGATGGGAAAAAAGTAACCTGGATTAATTGCCAACCACAGCTAATTCCCCACTGGGCTCAACTGTGCTCTGCATTACTTAAGGTTATTAAAGTTTTAAACATCTGCCTGAGCATGGGAGACCCCTGGATAGGCTGCGTCCTGGGAGAGACCCCTGGATAGGCTCAGCCCTGCATGGAGACTCACCCGACATGTCGTTGTTTAAAGTCCCACCTGAAATGCTTTCAATCCAAATGGCAGCTACTATCAGACTACTAGATGCTTTTTGGCTGGATTGGGAAATGCTACTTGGCGAAACTGGAGTCCCCTGACAGCTTCCAAAGGCCCAGGGAATTTTCTCAATTTTGAGTGGAGGACAGTGATTCTGAGGCAAGCCCCTTGGAAGGCAATCCCTGCTCTCCCAGGCGTCCCTGGCCCTGCACAGGAGACTGAAGGTCTCCGTTTTCTTGCATCCCAAACAGTTAGCATGAAGGACCTGGTGCTGCACCGATTTTGAAAGCTTGGCGGTGGTGTTGTGTAACTGTCTGCCATCTGTTACTCAGAGGCAGCATCACAAAGCGCTGAGCAATGGACTCAGTGCTGCAGCTCCTGCCTGGAGCCCACAGCCTCTCAGCAGCTTGCCTGGGGGTCCCCTGCAGAGACTGCTGCAGCATGCTTTGCGGGGCCCAAACCTGCAGGTCTGGGGGGAGCTCCTGGAAGAGAGCCTGGTGCTCCAGATACTGCAGGGACTAGTCTCTCACTGCTGCCTTCACCCTTTACCACGGTGATCTACCCGGACCCTGGCCTGGCCAAAGTGGGGGGTAGGGGGGCCTGCTGCAACCTTTCAGGACAAAGGCAAATCCTGAACCATTCCCAGGGTGCTGTGAGAGCTGAATCTTGAGATGGGCTGGCAAGAGAGCCCAGGTGTTCTCGGTGGTTTGATTTCCACCTCTGTTCCCAACTAAAAACTTATCTAAGCCTGTCCAAAAACTCTTTGGAATTGTGAGGGAGGTTTGCCCTGTGGCAACAAACATGGGGCTTTCAGCAGACACCACCATGCCTCACTTCACTTCTTGGGGCACCACCTTAGTAGAGAGTGAATTTTGGATCCCTTTTGTACAGCAGCACCTTCAGAAGGATGTGAGATATGGGGGCTTCCCCTGTGCCTGGCTCAGGGGGGAGAGAAGCAAGGATGGTGGCTACAGCAGTTGGCACGACATTATCTTCTCTCCAAGCAACTGGATGAGATAAACATCCCTCCAACTAAGGCTGCCTACATTCAAATGGCTGGTTTTGCTCCCACTGGGTTGCCCAGGGGAGTCCTCACTCCCCCTTTCTGAGTGGTCAAATGATCAGAGACCACCAGAGCCTTGCAATCAGCGTCCACAACTATTCACTTACTAGTCAGAGGAGGTACTGTCGCCCCCATTTTGGGGATGGAGGCAGGTAAAAGGACTTGCCTGAGATTCTCACAAGTAATGAGAGAATGTTCTGCGCCAGATCAGGGACCCTAGTCCAGGGATAGCGCTATTATTCCCCTGAGCTGATAATCCAATTCAGAATTTCCTCCGCCCCTAGACCCAAGCAGCTTTAGTCTGCAGCGGGAGGAGGAGGCACACTCCAAAGGCATTTGGGGAAAGCGGCTTTTGGAAGGTAACCTCCTTCCTCTAGTATCTCCCCTGCCAAAGCTCACTTTCCAACCCCCTTTGTGGCCAGCCCAACTTTGGGTGCCCTTTCTTGCTAGCACAGAGCCGCGAGGCTTACAGGGAGAGAAAACCCTTGGGGGAGATAATTGTGCCTTAATCAATGGATTTCTTTAATTTTAGACCAGCCGAGCGATCCACCAAGCAGATAAACTTGCCAGGCACCTGCAGGCAAGCAATAAACACCCCGGGAGTTGGCTGAACTCGACCTCAGCCCTGCTCCACCAGGGGGGTGAACCCCGGTGTGGCAGCAGCACCCCCAGCGCCCCAAGTCCCAGCGCCTTCTCCCTGAGGGCCGCGCACTGCAGGCGGGACCCGGCGCGAGCGCCACGTGCAGCCCCCGCGGCGAGCGGGAAAGTCTCCCCGGCGCGGCTCAGCGCGGCGCGGGCTGGCCCTGGGTCCCGCGAGCAGCCCGGGGGGCGGGGGGGGGGCGGCCTCCCCCACGCACAGCTCCGGCCCGGCCCCTCCCCAGCCGCGAAGCTGCGCCCAGGGCTCCCGCGCGAGCGGCCCCAGAACGCAGCTGCGTGCGCCCCGGTCGGCGGGCGGCGGGAGCGCCCCCACTCAGCCCCGCTCGCTCCCGCGCGGGCTCCCTCGGAATCGGCCCCCCTCCCCGGCGCTCCCCCCCGCTCCCGCTTCCCTCGTGCTCCTCCCGGGGCGCCCCGCACAGCCTCGGATTGGCCCCTCCTCGCCGCTTCAGCCAGTTTCCCTCGCGGCGGCGGCGGGCTGGAGGCGGCGTGGCGGCACCGGGAGCCCCTCGGCCCCGCGCGCTCCTGCCGCCGGCGCGGACGTCCAGCCCGGCTGCCCCCCGGCCCCTCCCCGCGCGCCCCCTGGCGCCCCGCGCCCCCACCCCTGTTCGCCTCCTCCCGGGCGGGCGCAGCCCCTTGCCAGGTCCCGCCGCCCCTGCGCCCGGCTCCCCCGACCGGCGCTCCTGCCCCGCCGAGCCTGCCCGCCAGGGGGTGCCCCGGGGCGGCGCGGCGCGCGGAGGACTCGCGGAGGGGACCATGCGGCGCCTGACTCGCCGCCTGATGCTGCCGATCTTCGGGGTGGTGTGGATCACCGTGATGCTGTTCTTCTGGGTCTCCAAGAAGAAGTTGGAGGTGCCGACGGGGCCCGAAGTGCAGACCCCCAAGGTGCGGGGGCTGCGGCGCGCGGGCGCGGGGGGCGCGCAGCCGCGTGCCGGGGTGCGGGCGCCGGGGGCGCCCGGCGGGGTCTGCGCGCTGCGGGCGGGTAGCGGGGCGCGGGCGGCGGCTGCGGGGGGTGTCTCGGGATTTGAAGGAAGCTCGGGGGGCGCCCCCGACCCGCGCGGTGTGAAAGTGGGTGTGGGCGCCGGGCGCGCGCTCGCGGGCTGAGCGGGGCTCCCAACTTGGGCACCCGCCGGTCCCGCGGCGGAGGGGGCGCTGCGGGCGGGGCGCCCGGGGGCGGGGGGCGGGCGGTGGGGCGGGCTGGTGCTGGAGAAGTCTGGCGCGGCGCTGACCTGCTTCCCGCAGCCGCCAGGCCACACGGAGCGAGGCCGGAGGCCCGGGGTGCCCGCGCGCGCCTGTGCGTCGCAGGCGAGCGCCCTGCAGCCTCCTGGGCGGCTGCTGCCGGGGCCCACGCGGCCTGCTCCGCCCCGGCTTGGTAACTGCTCCCGAGCCCTTCAGCCGCCTTGGAAGTTGCCTGTGCCTTGAACCCCGCTAAAGAGCCTGTGAAGACAGGCGCCTCGGTATTGCCGGGGAGTTGGGGAGATGAGAATCCAAGTGGCGTTTCCGACTCCTGCCTACTTAGTTCCTCAGAACTGAGCCAGAAGGGCCTCCCTGCGGGCCTCCGGGTTACTTTCATTCAGGCCCCCACACTTCAGGCTCTTTCTCCTCCACAGACCAGGCCCTGTGGGACCCAGAGTGAGCGCTGGGGGTGGGGCCGCGTTTATGAATGGGATCCGGAGCAGTGCTCCAGGGACTGGGAGAAAGCTCCTGGAGAAGCTTATTGTCAGAAGCAGAATGTAGAAAACGGCAGGGGGAAGGGAGGAGTCTCCCAGTACATGTGGTACTGAGGACCTACTGTGTGCCAGTACATAGTGGGTGCTGCTTCACTACCGGTGGAGGGTTATTCTTTTTTTCATAGTTCAGGAAACAGGTTCAGAGTCTTGGGTTTCTTTCCTTAGGTCTCTCTGATGAAAACTCAGACCTCGATATTCAGAATCCTTCCACTATATCCGGTTCTCTCAGGTCCTCTTTTAACTACATCTTTGCCACTTACTGTTCGGAACCCGGCCAGTTTGCTCAGTTGAGTTCCACAAGCATTTGTTGATGATCTGCCGTGTGCCTGGCAGTGTGCTAGGTGCTAGTTACTGTGGGTACAGAGGTGTAGAACTTATTCTGGGTGTAGGTGGGGTGGGGTGGGGCTTTTGCTCATCAGTGGGCCAGAGGCTTGAAGAGTGCTGAGGGCTAAGAGAACTCATGCACCAGTGTCACGGGAGCCTGGGGGACTTCCTGGAGGAGGAGGACATAACAGAACTGAGTTCAGAAGGATAATCAGTAGGTTTGCCAGTAGGTAGGGAGGGCATTCCAGGGAGAGGTTAACTGCACAGAGGAATGACACAGCACGTTGTTCGAGTTTGGCATAGTTTGAGTGTAAAGTTTGACTGACGGCTGTGATGAGGCTGGGGAGGTGAAGAGGGGTTGCGCAGTACCTGTGGGTGCTCAGGGGCCTTGGGAGCTACTCATCTGGGAAGTGATGAGGGTCAGACAGGTGACTTCAAACAGCCTTCATCATACCGGATCAATTTTCTCCCTCAGTTCAGACCTGCACATAGATCTGGGAGCTTTCTTCTTTTCCCTGCTTTTGCTCCTTGTGATACAGTTAATGATGCCTGCAGGGACGTGAACTCTTTCTGTTTTGCGTTGAACCTCATTACCTGAGCTTACTTATTCTCAGTTTACGCCAGGGATCTGGGATGAGAGCTCTCTTTCCTTCTTGGTGTATTTTGCTCTTGCTCCTTACCTCCTCTCATCCTGGTGTGTACAGAAACCACATTTATCTAATGCGGCTGTTCGCCAGGCCCTGTACTGGGCTTGGGGGCTGTTGTGAAGAGTATTCTGTGTCTCTGCTTTTGTGGCTGGACCTGGAGTTTGGGGGTGGCGGGTGGTCTCATAAGTTCCTGGTTGAGGCCAAATTACAAACTAATGAGTGATGTGGGGTAGTGGCAGTGCAAGTCGGGATCCTGGAAGTCCTGACCTCTTGCTCTTTGCTTTAATATCTTATTCCTTCTTTCTTCCATTTCAGTATTCTTTATAGCCATAGTTTCTATAGGCTTTACACATCCTGCTATTTCTTCCTATTAGGTATCCTTCTTTTTTGTTAGTATATTTCTCCTTCTCTTTTTCACTCGTGTATATGACTGTGTGTCTACACTTCTGTGGGTGTTTGTGGGTGCATTTAGTGTCTGGTGGATGAGCACCCCTCTGGATCTCAGTGTCTATATGTATCCGAGGCGAGAGGTGGAGGCGGCAAAGAGAGATTCCTTTTAGGCACCAGGGCAATTTTCCTCCCGTGACTTATCTGTAGAGAAGGTTTGTACATCCTGTCCGCAGGGCATTTGGCTCCCACACCTGACTGCATGTCAGAATCAAAATATGAATTTGGGGGCTTATGGTAGAGATTATGATTCTATAGATTGCCCTAGAATCAGTGTCTTTACAAGTGCTCCGTGTGAGTCTGAAGCTGCCTGTCGATGAAAGGGATTTGGAGGAAGAATACTCAGTCTGTTCATTTTTTTGGTAGCTGGCTTGGCCCCCTGTAAGTATGGCCAGATGATTCGTTCTTCTTAAGTCCCTCACCGGCCTAGCTTGGCCAGCCTGTGTGCGCTCACGTGAAATAACAGTGGCTGGCGTTTGTATAGTATTTTACAAATTCACAAACTCCATTTTACATATGATAGCTCATTGAATCTCTACAACCACCACATAAGGCAGCTGATGCTTCTGTGCAGATGAGATTGAATAATGAGATTAAACAGTTGGCCCAAGATAACAAGGCTGTTACTAAGTGGCTATTTCTGCTCGGGGAGCAGAGGTTCTGAGTGACCACCGGTGTGCGCCTTCCATGCCGCTCAGCTGTGGGGGTTGCACTTGTGGGTAACTGGGTGAGGTCAGAGATATTTGCAGTGGGTGCTCCCCACCCACTTTCCAGTGCTTACATGACTCACTCCTAGATGAGCCTTTGGAAAAGACCAGGGGGATTGGTGTAAGTTGTGGGGGAGCCACCTCAGAGGCAAACTTTCTCTCTCTGCCTTTGGAAGAGGCCAAGTGGGACAGCGGATGCTTCTCTGTCTGGGCTGAGTCTCCCAGGTGGGGAGAGTCCCCGGGGAGGTAGATGTGTCTTGGGGTTTGGCACCCAATGGTTGCAGGTGGCAGCAGTACTCCTGGTTGAGGAATCATTTGCCAGGGCAGAGATTATTTTCTCCACAGTAGGAATTTGAATGGGACATTTAAAAAAATGTGGTTTTTGGGTGATTCCAGCATCCTGGGTTTCCTGGGTGTGCTCAGGTATGGACACCAAGAGGTCCCAGCGCTGTCTGCGCCTGTGCAAGTTTACATCCTGTGCGGATTCTTCCCAGTGTGATCCAGGGGGTTAGATTATTTTCCAAAGCAAGAACAGTGGGCTCCCTCTCCCTAAAAATGTCCTGAGAAGTTGGGAATGGTGGCGGGTTGGAGAGGAGAGGCTGTGGTCCGGGCTGGTGGCTGGCGACTGCCTGACTCTTTGATTCCAGACAGCAAACTGGGGTCTGCTACATGTTCTAGTTTTGGTCTCTGGCTCCTTGTCTCCTTCCCTCAGAGTGTTAGGAACTGTCCTCATTCACCTCATGATGGAATCTCCAAAGTGGGGTGATAATAAAATAAAACCTATGCCCGGCCACAGTTTCAGTGCTGTGGAGAAGACGCACTGTGCTTCTAGTTTAAGGAAATTAATTGGATTTTTTTTCTTGGTTTCAAGAAGGGTTGGTTCTATTAATAGCTCAAGTAAAGATTTCTTTATGTTTGACTTTTTAATGTTGATTAGATTCTTTTACTGGGTTCCCTACTCCCAAATTCAGCAAAGCTCTAATTCCTAATTGAAAAATCATCTAATACGTTTGATGTCTTCATTCAACTATATTTTAGTGATAAATGTTTTACCACTAAAAAGGACCTGAAGATGTTTCATTTCTTCTTTCCCCTATCATGTGTTTGCCATTTGGAGAATTATACAATAACTGACAGAATTAAAAAAAAAAAAAACTAGCAAATTTGACTCTCATTTCCAAGAAACTAAATTTAGTCCAGGGGCTTAGGGCTCAGAAAAAGCAAAAGAATGTGAGGCCTGAGGGTACTTTTTGAGGAAAGTATTGGAAATATAAAGGCTCCTGAATAAAGTGCCTCGGGCCCATGTAAATGTATTTGTGCTCTGCTGGAAATACAGCAAAGGCTATTAGAAAAGAGCTTGTCATTCTGTGGTATTTGCATACCTCAGATGCCTGAAGTATATGACACTGTTATTTTTCCCCCATTTAGTAGATCGCTTCTCCCATTAAAAAAAAGAATCTGGAATTTTAGAGAGTGACCCTGTGCATTTGTTAATGCTCAGTGTGTGCTGACTGGACTTTGTCCAGGGCATTTTGACTCTGGCATGACCACAGGAGCCCGTCACCAGCCTGGCGTCCATGCGTTCATTCACTGGTGTGCCTGCTGTTGCCAGGCTCCATGTGTCCTTCCACTCCAGGGCCATCCCGCAGCAAGCGAGGGGCTGAGGTGGACTGGTGAGAGGTTGGGGGACACTATGTAGCAGGTTGGAACCTCAAGTATTCAAGAAATCTGTCTTTGCTTTCTAGTTATCAACAAGCATTATTTTAAAAAATCTTTGAGGTATTTTTAAATACCCTTGTCGCATCCTATCAGGCTGGTGGGATTTTGACATTTGCGTCATTTTTGGCCTGCCTGGGTTGTTCCCACATCCCAACCCAGCTAGTCCTCTCCCCGAGGTCCAGGCTGGAGGCCCTATCCCAGGACCCAGGGGTCTGTGTGGGGAATCCCTTCTATTCAGTATGGACTCTCTTTCCATAAATCCTCATTCCTTAAGTGGCCTGGTGCTTTTGGAAACAAAGACTGGGAATCCC